GTTACAAGTATGGTCTTCAGGTATTTTCCTTTGCCTTCAATTTTCTATTAGAAATGGGAGACATAGATGAGCGAGTTAAACGAAATGTTAATCAACAGCGGTTTTTGCCCATCGACCCACAAGCTATGAAGTAAGATTTTTTCTAACTTGAAAACTAATAAAAGAATTGATCTGAATTTCAGTGACCCCCTTTCGAAGCTGATTTTCGACTACGAACAATCTAATGAACAATTTCAAGATCGAGAATTGCTTGATTTAATTCAAAGAGTCGAGAAAAACAATCCAGAACGAAGCGTAAAAGCACCGTTATTTGTGTCAAAACTTCTCACTCATAGGACTGCGGCCATTCGTAAATCAGCATTCGCTGCTTGTTTGAATATTCTTTCTCATCCACAGAGGAGTGTATGTTCTAAATTTATATCAGAAAAGATTATTGAACTCCTTTCAGCCTCGTCGAATCTTGTTGGATGCTTACCGCGGAGCCCTTTGCAATTCAAATCACCAAGTGGCACAGTATGCAATTACATTACTCCCACAGTTCGTTGATGCATGTCCAGGTGAGACAACTATTCTTAAATTCAATTTTTAAAACGTTATATTTAGAAGAAGCAAACATGTTGATAAAGTTCGGTTCCATTGCCTATAACAGACTCCCAGCACCATCCACAGAAATAGAAATGCACATCTCCAGAGCATTCACCAAAGCTTCACAATAGATACTTCTAAAATTTTCAATTCATTGTGTGTGTGTGTGTGTTAAAATTATCTCATATTTTTTATTGCTGCGGGTATCTTGAAATGAATAATTCCGGTATTTATTGTTCCTCTCTGTAATCAAGTTCAAAGGTTTCTATAAACCTGAATGGTTGTTTCATAATTAGTATGTATGTGTTATGTTAATTTCACACTATTCTCGACGTTCTCCAGATGACAATTGCTTCAAAAGAACGTCGATGCGCGCGTCTGCTGACTCAATCAGATGCCACATCATATTTCGAAAAGTATAAAAGGGTCCGGTCTACGGATATGAAGGTCAGCTCGAAATGTTTTCAAATCTTTAAAACAATAAATTCAGGTTCAACAGTGCCAATCAGTCGCTTTCAACTGTGATGGAACGAAACTCGTTTGCGGTGCTTTCGATAAAAAAGTCAGTATTGCGAATGTGGATGGAGGAAGACTACGGTTTTCTTGGGTCGGTTCGAGCCATACTTCTTCTGTGGAACAGGTAAGAAGTACTCTTAATAGATCATGTGTCAAAACAGAAATTGTAGGTAGCATGCAGTGAAAAGCAGCCTAACATGTTCGCTTCTGCAAGTTCCGATCGTAATGTTTGTATCTGGGATGCTAGACAGAGCAAGCCAACTCATCGAATTACGAATAAAGGTGAATATCTAAATGAATACAATTAACGAAGAAACTATCTGTTCCAGTTGGAAACTTCTTCGTATCTTGGTCACCCTGCGATGAATACTTGATTTTTCTGGATAAAGATAATCGTGTCAATACAGTAGATGTCAGGAACTATAAAGTAGTTAATGTAAGATTTTATAGGCCGGTTTCGTCAAAAACCGCTATAGTTTACAGACACACGACATGAAGGTATTCTCTCATGAAGTGATCTTCCACCCCCTCTCTAACCATGTTTTTGTGGCCGAATC